CCCCAAAACCCCAAAACCCCAAAACCCCAAAATTTATGAAGGATTTTATAAGTTTTTATAAGGGAAGTATGAAGCAGACTTGGAGTGAGGATGAGGTAATGGTAGGTCTGAGATAGGTGGGGGAGTGGGGTGGGGGGGGGAGAAGGAAGGGAGAGTGGGGTTTGGGGGGTTAAGTGGGTGTGTTAATGAAGGTTTTAGAAGAGAGGCAAGAGGGTAGAAAGAGGGCTTGATTTTGATAGCACATCGCATAATGATAGTCAAGTTTTAACTAAGAAATTGATTGAGATTCTTGGGTTTAAATAAGCACAGTTCTAACTTCAGCAAATTATCTCTTGAGCAACTTCAAAATATAATGGCTCAGGTGTACCAAAATAAAATCATCGACCAAGACAATTTCCTAGAATCAGAACAACCCAAAAGAATTTCTATAGCTAACATTTTATCCCATAAAGACTCTCCTACAAAGCAATTGAGTGCAACAACGCCTACTGAGAAGATACTGCCAGCTCCAATTAAAGAGGTGCAGAAAAAGAATTGGCATCACACTCTCTACCACCTCTCTCCCACTGGAATCTTGAATAAACTTGATAAATGAAAGTATAACTGGTGTAAAGAGAAGGCAGATAGACTTAAAAGGGAGGATGGTATACAAGCTACGAATAAAAGAGTTGCTAGGATCTCTTCAAAGAATATCAAATAATCCTCAATCAATTTCCCCTCCTTCAAGTATACACAAAGTAGTGATAACCTTATAGGCTCTTTAAGAAAATTCAGGATCGAACAAAAGGTATTTGACGATACTGAGGTAATCCCATAGTTTTCAGTTTTAGTATCGCAAGAACAGAAAAGGCCTCACTTCAGAGGAAGTTAGCACTTATGAGCAATACATTCAGAAGAAATTTGGGATTTTAACTAAGGATACAAAGAATAAGAAATGGGAAAAAGAAATCAAAGAGATGCATCTAAAGACCAAGTCTAATAAATCTATCCTTCCTAAACAAGAGCTCTCAGATAGTTCTATCAAAAATAACAAGTTTAACAAAATGTTCAACAATATGGGAATTACAATGACCGACTTTGAAGGTAAGCCACTCAATATTTTAGCAATAGACTCTGGCATGATAGAACCATGCATGAAGGAAGAAGACGTAAGAAGAATCAAAGAGACTGAACATTTCTTAGAACGCTCAAATAGCAAACACTCCTCAGAATCTCGTTCACCTGAGTTTGATAACAAATTTCATCTTCAGAGAGAAATTGACATGCAGAAAACTCGGAATACACTGGATGTGTTCAAGTCTGCTGATGGGGTTGAAAACTCTATGAATGGACTACTCACTTCTAAATCTAAATAAAGAGTTTAAACTAGATATTAGAAGTTTCAAATAATAAAGGCATTGAGTTCATGAATCCCAAAGCTGCAGAACAATCTGCTCTGCTTCGACAAAGAATCGACAAAATGAATAAAGAAAGTAAAAATCGATTGAAGGCAAAGAAAAGCAAAATCCAAAGGAAAAATATCCGAAGGCTCAAGGAATTTCAGAAACAGTTGATGGACATTGACAAAGATCCAAAATGACCTATGAGCAGAAGGATAAAGCCAGGAAATTTCCGACATATTGAAATAAAGAATTCTCTGGAACCAAGGAAGGTACAAAACCAGTGTAAATTTATAGAGAAGCTATCGATTACCCCAAATTCAAACTCCGCGATCAAATTCTCTATCTTCCAGAACACATGATGCGTTTCACTCAGGAGAGTTAACCCAAGAGATGTTCAATGATCTATCTTGATACATCTCACAAAAGTATGGAGTCTCTGAAGATATATTGAAAGATGTACAGAACTTCAACTTCGAAGAAGTAAAGAAAGGAATAAACCAGAGAGCCCAACATAAATTTATAATCATGCTCAAAAGGGTCATTGATGGGAAAACTAAGACTGGAGGAACCCTCTCTCAAAAGAAAAAGAAAAGCTTTTACCCTAATTCAACAATTAAGAACTTCCTCGATGACTTACTGGGTCAAACAAAGAATAAATACATAAACAATCAGATGCGAATTTTCAGGAATAGTGTCATGAGTAAAGATCCTTCATATAAGAAAGTACCCCATGTCTTTAACAGGATGCAGGATGATGTCCGTAGAAGAGAAAATGATAGTGACCAATTCAGCAAGAGTTATTTCAAAAAGAATTAATTGTTCAATAACTACTGTATTCATGCTGAGAAGAGCGAAAGTAAGCTAACCTAATTTAAATTTCAACCCTGCTGAGTCACTTTGGGGTTTTGGGGTTTTGGGGTTTTGGGG